AGAAGACAGAAGTCAAATTTCATTTTTGGACAATAATGTAGAGGAAGATCCTGCTTCCCTTTTTTGCAGCTTTCCTCGCTGGGAGGAGCTATTCAGGGTTTGTCCTGCCTGGCACCCTCATCCCCCTTTTCCACTGCACACTTCCTCTGCTTCCTGCTTAACTGTGTGGTGTGTGTGTGTGTGTGTGTGGCGGCCCTGGGCACATCCTTTTCCTTTCGTGCGGTGACTTTTGTGCAATGGCATTTGGCCAAGGAGCCAACCAACGATAAAAGACTTGTTTTTGCTGGGCTGTGAGTTACTCAAGTGATGTTGTGCAGGTTATTCCAGCCAGGATTGTAGTGTGCGGGCAGCCTTCCCCCTTCAGAAATCCTAGAGCCCTTCCTTGTCGCCCCCCCCCCTCAGTTGTAAATGACAAAAAGGGACCAGTGTTAAACACAGGAGGAGCAACCATCTCGAGTGTTAATTCCATATAAATTTCAGCTTTCTTAAAGCTGAAGCTTGCCCCAGCTCTACCTCTTTGGGGCGTGCGTCCTTGGCACATCACCCCAAAGACGAGGGCAAGACCTTGTGCCCGCTGCTCACCTCAAGCCCCTCTGCTCAGAGGTGCCTCAAGGCTGAGCGTTAACACAACGTGAGTCTCCATTCCTTCCCACTGGATGACCCCACCACAGTCATCACAAGAAGTTTCATAGGTTGCATTTTAGTACGAAACTTTTTCAAGAATCCCGCTTGTGTATAAAATCAAAACGCATGAATAGGATAGGCTTTTTTGAAAAAGATCACATCATTCTTTCTATAAAACGGGGGCTTCTGATAAAATCTTTCCATAAGCTTTTCTTGCAGAGTTATCACACCCACCTGGTGGCATTCAAAGGACTGTAGCACACTGAGCATCAAACGCCTTTCTCCCACGCGTTCTTCCAGCCTTCAAACCCCAAGAAATATTTAAAAACTGTAGGGGACTAGCTGGTTAATTGGCCTGGTCAAGTAATTAATGGCAAGATAGTGGTTACTCCAGCTCTGGTTACTCCATGCTCAAGAGGAATAAAACCCCAAAGATCTTGCTAATCCTTTCAAATTGGTGTGCGAACTTCCAGCCTCACAATGCCAGCCTGAGGTCACTTTCTGATCCCAATCTTCCTAATTAGGAATTAACTACATGATGCATTTAAGGCTAGTCCTGAACCAATGTCCAGAAGCTATATTAACTTCTGCATCAAAACAAAAATAATTGTAGGCACCTTAAAGTCTGTGATCAACAAAAGCTTATGGAATAGCAGATCTTTAAAGAATTACTAGATTTCTTGCCATTTAAAAAAAATACGCTGAATAAATCTATAGATTCATGGCACAGAACGAAAGAACATTAATCTTTCCTCTCTGGTCCATTTTTCTGTTAAAACATATAAAGATCCTTATGCTAATTCACCCAGTGAATTTTATTTATTTACTAGACAACCCGTGCCCTGATGGGTCATTGTTTTAGAAATATTTCCTTGCCAGATTCCTCAATAACTTCGAGAATGGCAGAGCTTCTAACATACTTGAAAAGTTCTTAAAAATTCAGGGTGATATTCAGAGATGTATCGGCCTTGGAAATAGCCCATGTTGAATTGTATAGCACAAAAACACTGACCAGAGGAAAAAATTTGTGACATTTTTATTACATCACAAAACGCTAATTGTTAATCGTAAAATATTTTATAAAATTTGCCAGATTTCAATTCTACCAGAGCTATATTTCCCAGATTTTGGAGACACTCTGTAAGTTAGCCCGCCTGACGTATACTGGTTTAAAAGGTTTTGGACTATGATGTACCCTTTCCCCCAGTTAAAGGTTACAGACACAAGAGTTTTAGAGGTGGATAGATTTAGATTTTATTTATTTATTTATTTAGTAAATTTAGATGGCTGCCCATCTCGCACAAAGTGACTCTGGGCAGAATACACTGAACTTAGGAACGACGCAACGTTTCTCTGACAAAATTGGCAAAACTGAAGTTTACAAAAATAAAAAATAAAAAATAAAGAGAGCTGGAGTGTGATACATTATTTACTACAAATGGCACCTTATTGAGCAAACTACGTGTAAGTGATCCATTGCTTGACTCAAGACAATTTGGAAGTGGGGGGGTCCTCTTCATCACTCCCCAACTTCATCTTTCTCTCTCCCCCCCCCCACCCTTCAATATGGCTTGGAGCTGACCACACGCAGCCGGAAGGCTACCTTGCGTCTGTGGCCCTGGACCCCCACAGCCATCCCATCCCTGAATTTCACTACAGCTGTGTCAAGATCCCTTAACATGGGGAGGGCGGGCTATGGATGGCCTCCCCCAAGCAGAAACTCACCTTCACCTCCTCTGGCCCAACAGGACTGGGTTGCCTGCGAGGCGGGGAGGGAGGGGGAGACTTCCTCTGGGACAGTATCCTGCCCGGAGGTTTGCTGTACAATCCTGGCAATTGCAAAAGTTTTCAGGGGAAGCAGCGCAGATGGCGCAAAAGGAAAGGTTTATATTGAGGATGGCACACAAAGATCTGGCTAAAAAGTACCAGGACAGATTTTGGGATAGAAGAGCGGTTCCCAAACTCTGTAGAATGAGAGAGAATAAATGCATCCAAAGTTCCTTCCCAGATTTTTGACCTGCTTCCTGTTAGCCTCAACTGAGGTCCACACGGACAATCTGTCTAATCAGATCACTGGAGAGTTTGCCTCAAAGAGAAAGTTGCTAGGAGCCCTTGTTGCATCTTGTGTCAGTGGGTCCCCTAGAGTTGCTGTGAGCAGGGTACCAAAATCCTTGGAAGGAGATCCCGGCAGCAATAATTGAGCACATAAAAAAGTGACATTTAACACAACTTGCTGCTTCTAGCACAAAGAGAAGCACGGCGGCGGGGAGGGGATCACAAAGCCTGAGTCTCTATTAAGCATCGCCAGACGTTTCATAGGACGCTCCCTTCCGGGACGTAAAGCAAAAAAGGCTGGTCTTCCACGGTCACCAAGAATCTCTTTTAGGAAACCTGCAAATGTGAGAACACACACAAATCCACTAAGGAGTCAATGCCACTGGGTTTTTTTTCTCCAATTCCTGATGCAACTGAATTCCAATTCCTGAAAGCAACTAGATCTAGAGCTTGGCTGGGCTGCATCCAGGCCTTGGGTTCTAAGGAAGACTCTTGGCTTTGGGAACAGGTGTTACCGAATGTCAGAACCAGGCTTGCTATAGGGGCATGCAGAGTTGGAATCCTCCATCTGGCCAGGAAAGGATCTAGTGCAGGGGTAGGCAACCTTGGCTCTTTTATGACTCGTGGACTTCAACTCCCAGAATTCCTGAGCCAGCCATGCTGAGGGGAAAGGGAGAGGTTTCCAAGCTGGGCCATGCTGGCTCAGGAATTCTGGGAGTTGAAGTCCACGAGTCATGAAGGGGCCATAGTTCCCCCATGCTGGCTCAGGAATTCTGGGAGTTGAAATGCACAAGTCATGAAGCGGCCTAGGCCTAGGCCAGAGGTAGGCAAACTTGGCCCTTTTATGACTTGTGGACTTCAACTCCCAGAACTCCTGAGCCAGCCATGCTGAGGGGAAAGGGAGAGGTTTCCAAGCTGAGCCATGCTGGCTCAGGAATTCTGGGAGTTGAAGTCCACGAGTCCTAAAAGAGCCAAGGTGGCCTACCCCTGCCATAGATGTTAGTCTGTAGGGAGAAAAGCTCTCCCAGAACCAAGCTCTGAATTGGGGTGTGTATGTGTGCGTGTGTATGCGTTACATTGGATTCCTTCCCTGAGAAGAGATGGGAGTTCAAAATAACAGAGTTAGAAAGGGCCTTGGAGGTCATCTAGTCGAACCCTCTGCCCAATCAGGAGACTCT